CAGAGTAGGTGTCTGTTTGACTTTGATGATCAGCATGTTTGGTTATTTGGCCCCCGTGAGCTTTTTTTGTCACGTGTCCGACCACATTTGGACCGGACAGGATGTTCTAAACAAGTTCACGCTTGAGAGAGGATGATGATGATGATGTAGTGGCACCGTAGGTGGCAAAGATACACAAAGTCTCCAAGTGTGCTTGCGTGCTTTTTTTTTTTTTTTCTTTTTCAGTGTGTGTGCTTGTTTGTGTGTGCGTCAGTGGCAGAGTGAATGTTTGTGTATATGGGCGAGTGGGGGTGGCAGGGCTATAATCTGCTTCAAACTGCTTGCGGGCAGAGCCGAGGTGGGCGAGACAGTGATACAGAAAGAGAGCAAGGGAAGAGGAGAGCAAGGAGGGGGGATGAGTGAGGAAGAAATGAGTTGGCAAGAGAGAAAAAATAAAGACAGAGAGGAAAACAAGGAAAAAAGAGGAGGAAGAGGAGACTAACATTGTGGATTCATACATCTTATGTATGCTCATGTACTCTGTGTCCTCTTCTCTTCCACTCTTTGTTGTGCTGGGCTCAGTGGGCAACCAGCAAGGCAGCTAATCCCTGACATTTACGCTACTTTCTCGGCCCTTCAGTGACATGAGCCTGGCTGCAGCCCCCTGTCAGGACCCACGGTGGCCTCAGGTGGATGAGAGAGAAAGATGGTGCAGCTGATGCAACCCTTAACTGAGGGTCTGAACAATGAGGAGGCCTTGAGAAAAACTCTCAGAGCCAAGGTCCTGCATATTGTGTTGTATTATACAGTATGTCTTGAACTAAGTAGGATTAGTGTGGGTGGAAGAATAAAAGAAAACAGTTTGGTGAAGAAGAGTCAAAGAAACTGAAGGAGAGGAAGAGGAGAGGGAGGGAAGAATGGAAAATTGATAGTGCATGGGATTCAGAAAAGAAAAAAAAAGTCTTCCATGCCAAAAAAAAAAGGAAAAAAAAATACTCGTGGGTTTTAAAGAACAAACTTCATGAGCTCTTCAACAAAATAGAGTCATACTTGAAAAAACACTACTGCAACTTTTTTTCACACTATTTATTTATTTTTCCAAGCGGATTGGCTTGTTGATCACCTTAACTGACATCAACGCACAACCCATAATCCCTTGCTACTCTGAAACCTTCACACAGCACTGCCTCACTGTCTGCAGAACCACATAATTTAGCTCAAATGTGACGTTATCACTTCCTAGTAATCACATATTTCGCACCAATAAATTTATGGTTCTGCAGACATACAATTTCCACATTTGCATCTTGCTGTTTACCAAATTCTGTGCTCTTTCAATCATTAGTACCACCTTTTGTTGCCAATGCACTGCTTGTTTCAAGGATGCAAACTCAAATTATAGATATGTACATGTGTTAGTAAACAAACACAACACCGAGCATCAACAGCAATTACCAGGATGAGGTAAATGTGAGGATTTGGCCTTGTGTGTTGTTGGTCCTGCAATAACAGCTACACAAAAGGTGAAAGGAATAAGAGTAAAGGTGTTGGGAATTTTAACATGTTGATGGATAATTATAAACACAATTAACATTATGGAAATAAACTGAATCCCATAATGAAGGGCTTTTTATGTAGTTATTCTTTTACACAGATTTGACTGAAGTAAATTATTACCTGACTTTCTTTAATTATTACCAGGCAGAGTTGATTGGTTGATACTTGATTTTGATTGGTTAAAATTCTATAATAATGGTGAGTTAGTCTTAACAACAAAAGTTAGCCTGGAAAGTCAGGAAATAATGACAGTTGGTGGGCACAGCTTGAGGAGCTACTGGACTTCAACTATCCCTGGACAGAAACGTCAACATAAATATTCCTGCAGAAGTCCTGTTCATCCTTTCTGATGATACCCTCGATGGAAATATTCAGTTTGATATAAATAAGCAAATGTTTCAACTAGACATGAATGTTCATTTCAAGGTTGAAAGAAGGCTCAAAAGAAGCTGTTACCATGGAAGCATTCCCAACCCTGAAATTAGAGCTTTTGCTGTATAGAAAAATTCTTCTTAATTCAATAACATGATTTTATCAGCTGGAGGGGTCTTGTCTTATTCTAAAGAAACTCCAATTTGAATAACCTACCTGTTCACCATACATTTATTATTAACAAACAAATAGATGATACCAACTGGGTTTCACTGTAAAGACAAATAATATTACTTAATAGAGTCAAAAACAGAGCAGTGCTGTTAAATCATGAGTATAATCTCCTTTTTAGTCAAATCAGATGTTTAATTTCTAGTTATTCTGACTTTAAGCAGAAAAAATGTGAAATATTAAAAAACACAGGCTATCTGGGAAAATATCGTCATACTGCTTCTGCCTGACCTCCACAGTCTGAATTTAAAAGAGTTGTGCGGTAACTGATTAAACCAGGGAGGGATTACTTGCTAGCATATAATTTTAATAATCAGACCCTCCTGTCATTATAATCAGGAGAAAAGCACCATTTAATTATAATCTGAAACAAATGATAATGTTAAGGTGGAACTTTTGCAAGGACTGTAATAACAAGCTTACAAGAGGGTGCTCAGAGTGCAATATCAACCAAATAAAGACATCTGCTTGCATTCAGATCCTTATAAAAATCTACATTTCCCCTGAGCACAATCTTTGATTGGACAGAATGACTATATTTTATTGCAAATAATCACTTCATTAGACTGTTCTGGATAGATTTAGTTTTTAAGTCCAGAAAAAGGGACATTTTTTGCAGCTGTGTGAAGTTCGCTAGTGAAGCGCCACTACAAAAATAGAAGCTCTTTTACTTATCTGTCTCTCCTGATTTCTCTCTCCATTCTTGGCAACATGTCAAACCATCACTCAACAACAGAGCGTTATACTTAGCTTACTAAGTGTGTACATATTCTTGTATCCCAAAATGATTCTGGGTTTGATCTTAGTATTTTGAGTGACTAGTATGTGCACCATTTGCTTTGTACTCCAGTGCTTTTATACCACTACGGCACAGTGGTACTCAACATGCCCTGCACTCAGAGGTCACATTGATCAGTGATTCATCTTCTTCTTCTAATGATTATTATAAGATCTTAATTGTAATTATTTGAAATGTAACTGATATGATTGGAATAATGGTAACATTTTATTTGACGCCTATCTCTATAACACATTATAAATGTATGTATAATGCGTTATAATCATGTTATAGCACTGTATAACTATAGTTATAAACACTCATAAATGATCATAATGCTTTATAGCAATAATCATAACACAATAATCATAACACACTATAAAGCACTTTGTCATGACTTACAAGGTCAGGTATCATCATGTGTTATAACTGTTAACAACCGTTGCATAGCATTATCTATGTGGGTATTGTCAGAGAGTTGTTAACAGTTATAACACATTATAATACCTGACCTTGTAAGTCATACCAAAATGCTTTATAATGTGTTGTGATTGTTGTGATAATCATTTATGAGTGTTTATAACTATAGTTATACAGTGCAATAACGTGATTATAATGCATTATACATATATTTATAATGCATTATAGAGATAGGCGTCAAATCAAGTGTTACCGCAATTATTAGTATTATTACAATGCAACCACGCAGAGTACATGATAGTGCTGACAGAAAAAGATCCATCACAGTAACAGACAAAACACCTCGTCAGACTCCATAACAGCATGATACACTGTGATAAATAAATAAATCCAAATATGAATTATAAACAACATATCGTTGAAAATCACTGCTTCTTTTCTCTGTGATGTTTCCCTTCCTCTTTAAGAGAAAACGGGTAACTCTCGGTTCTGCTGCAGCCCACATTAGTATTTCACTATAGAAGCTTTGTCAGAGGTGAAGCTTGCTTCAGTCTGTCATTGCTGACACTCCTTATGCCACGCAAGAGATTTAGAGTCAGACTCTGCAATGGAAATGGTCATCCAAAGGGCTTTAATGTGCGACAGACTTGCTCTGTTTTGGTTGCTAAATCTTAATGCTAGTGCAAAGAATGCTACATCATGATGGTTTGTGGATGTTTGGGATACACTTCATTAGTGTCCAATGAGGTGTATGTCCACAACATCTTTAATCTACTGAAGTTCGCCTGTGCCCTTTAATTCCACAAATGTCAGCTGCACAAGTGATGTTGGTTGTGTCACTTTGGACAACTCAGTAGTTCATGTTTTATGCACAGTAAAAAAAAAAAAAAAAAAAAATGATTTCCCAGAATCTTGTTATTTTGCTCCAGCTCAGTTACCACCTCACATCTACAGCTGTATTATGCATGCAGCTGCAGCATCACTTTCCGCACTGTGGAGGAAGAGTGATAATCAGAACATGGATGCTTGTGGTCAGGTGTATAAAAGATGTGATGTGCGATGAATCAATTCTGCCAATATTTCCCCTTTGATTCTTTTTCTCTAAGTAGGAATAGAATACAGAGGTTACTGCGATGAAATAAAATGAAGAGAAAAGATAATTTGAAAACGTACCAATCTTGAATTTGATCTGTATTTTATAAGAGTATCAGTGGAGCTTCTTTTCATAGCTACAGATATGACATTTTCATAAAGCATGCCTTTTGCATGTGCTGTCATATAGGTATGCTGCACATAAACACATTTGACTGTGACATGGGTGTGTAACACATTCCACGGTAGCTATGAACTTGAACACATGGGCGACATAGGAGTGCCGACTCACAGACAGAGTGCCTTCACAGCATATAAACACCAATACTATTCATAGTAAAACACACATGACTTCGAGATTGTATGCTTATTCAGTCGTTGACTTAATATACATTCACTATTTTAATGTTGTCATGATGCAGTTGCAGTGTTTTTACAAATATAAACACATTTCTATCCTTCTTTCTTTTGTTGGAATAAGACTAGAGCACAAACTGCACATTTTCAGTTTCAAGACAAACAAACTGGAAAAATCGTCAGCGCTGGTGCACACTCAATTGTCAAACTGGTTGTGTTTTTCTGAGGTGGTAAGTGCACCCTCATGGTCGTATAACATGCAGAGTCCTGCCTGTTTGCAAAGACAGCCTGGGGACTCAAACGGTTCACTGTTTCAACAGTATCTCATCTTCATCTCTCTTTTCTTTTTTGTCATGAGTCATCTCTGTGACCACGCTCCATCCCCTCTTCTCTCTGCAGGACACAATGATTTCTTGAATATAATCGCCATGACACTGGGAAAAAACCTGAGGTAACAGAATACAGACAAACACACACAGACATCACTGCCCTACATCAGTCTTTAGCATGTAGTTGAAGTGAGACACTATGGAATGTGAAATAAGTGACACCAGAGACAACATGCAAATCCGCCAGTGCCATGATAAGAGCACTTTAAGAAAAATCCAGGATGTTTTTTTCTTCCAACAATGGACAGGAGGAATCTTTCACAGGAGACTCTCTCGTCATTCCTGAATTGCCTTTGCAAATGACTGTAAAGAGAATGCAAATATCTCTTTGTGGGTTTTAACGCTCCAAGCTTAAACATGCAAATGATAGATAGAAACCATTCTCTCTCGCAGAGGATTGCTCTGTTGATAATTCCAGCTACTGTCTGATCAGCTGCTCTGTCTCCCTCTCTTTTTCTCCTAACACCAAGCATCAACACTTCAGTGTCTCCTGGAGTTTAAGATTACATTCTGGTCATTCCATCTTCTGACTACCTTTTATTCTTTCTGACCAGCCTTGAACTCACAGACCAGGAAGATAAATACTGCTGCTGTCCAGGCCACTACAAATGAAAATCTCTCTTCCTTTTATCGCCACTCTCTCAGATGTCATATCTTTGTTTCTGTAAAGACTTGAGTTCAAAGGGAGGTCACAGTTGAAATGGAAAATATCAAGTGGGATGTTATCCTGGATGGGATGATAGGTGTGGCACTGACCAATTGGACACGAAATCGTCAGATAAGTAGAACAAGACTGATTTGACCATCCTTACACAATTAAGTGTTTTGTATAATGCTCCTTAAACCATAGCAAATTGAACTATTGTTGTGATTTTTGTCTGTCTTGTATTTAAATAAATTCAAATCTGGGTTAAAGTTGCCTGTCTCTGTAAACGCAATTTTTATTCACATTTTGCCCTGTATATTTACAATGGAGAGTAACATGGCCTCGGTATCAAAGACGTGAAGATTGAAGACAAAGTCATTATGATTGAGCTGCTATCTCTGACCCCTCCTCACAGCCTCCAGTGCTCACCCGGATAGATCTAAATGATATTGACAGTTGAATAAATTTTCTGCATGAAATCATGTCAGCTTGAGCATGTCGTCCCCCCTCCAGCACCCCAGCATCCCGCCTCTATGGCTCACTGAAGTGCTAAATAATTACATTAGTTTCCAGAGGCTAATTTGACTGAGAGCTTTAATTCTGGTCCCATTCCAACACAGCTGCTTTTCATATATTTCACACATGTGATAATAGACTGAAAAACACATCTGCTATATATGTGTTATTTATGTATTATACATATATACAGTATGTGTGTGTGTGTGTGTGATATTAGACTAAATAACTCACAATATGACACAGTCTCAATAATGTGACCCTTTGGGTTCTAAGGAGGCCCTATGAAATGCAAATACAATTGTTGCAATACTGGAATTTCTGACCCAAATCAACCTCTAAATGAGCAAGACACCGGCACTGTGTAGCCTGGCTGCCTCACAAATGACTAGAACTCAGTAAGTAATCCAAACCCTTAATTATGGGAGATTCTTACTGTCTCTACACATCGCGCGAGTAAAAACATTCGCACGACTGAATTGCATACTAAGTCAATGCAAAGACGAGATCGGATGTTCGTACTACTCTGGTGGCGCGAATGACACGAATTGGGCGGAAGCCAAAAATGTCTCAACTTGAGCTGACATTTGCGTTGCGATAACCAATCAGCATGAAGGTTGCCAGGTAACGTATGAAAATGGACAGTTTTTACTGGTATCTACAATGGAGGACAAACTGATCGTGTTGGTGTGTGGGTCGGATTATATGATACCTTTTTGTTTCAATTACCAAAACCAGAATAAAAAGGAGCTCGTCTGAGGGCAGGTGAGTGAGGAGGTCGGATTACCTAGTAAATTGTAAAAAAACTTTTGTCTATCACTTGATCCTGCCAGTTGAATTGGCAAGGATTACCGTTGAAATTATCGTTGACGCGGGAATGAAGCAAGTAAATACTATTCATTCATGTGTCTAGATTTGCGTGAATGAAGCAAGTAGATGATTTTACTTGCGCTTGGCGTGAACGCCTCATTAGCCTTCCTATGATAAAAAGAGATAAGTTATTAATATCACTGCAAAACAATATATGGATTTCTGCACTCTGGGACCCGTTTTCCAAAAGTATCCTTTACAGTCACCTGAAATGCTATTTCCGTGTGGATGGAACACCAATACGAAGACAAAACCTTTTGCACTTACTCCTAAATTGGTTTCCATGTGGACGAGGCCTTAATTTGAAGGAAAACAACCCTCTTAACCTATAAACAAGCAATGGCTAACAAGTTGTTTTTGGAGGGTAACACAAGTGTCTCTGAATACGTGTGAGACCAGTTAATGTCCAGGATTGAGTGTTAGTGGAATAAGTCAACATTGAAGAACATAAGCAGACTGGTTGACCCATTTGCTCATTAGATGGATGATTTGACAGAACTGCCAAAGGTGAAATGGTCACAAATTTACATTAAATAAAAACTAGTGTGTAGAAAACAAAAAGAGGGCCTCCAAGTTCCTACATACCTTAGTTCAGTCAGGTACACTTTGTCAAAAAAATTTAGCTTTATTGTGCAAAGTTAAATTTGGCGGCATGATTCTATTCCGGGTCCCTGCCCTTCCACGCACTTGCATGGAAGCCCGAGGCAGGAAGAGCCCCTTCCTGCCCATCACGAGCCATCATGAAAGGCGATAGCAGGGACCACACGCAAGGTTCCGTTCGGGGCCCCCCGTTCTCCACACTGGCTTGGGTGAAAGGCCAGCGGCAGGAAGAGCACCTTCCCGCCCTCCACGAGCCATCATGAAGGCGGAGGCGGCGGGGGGTAGAGCAGCGATGAACGGAACCCCCCCAGAACAGGAACGCTTCAAGGGTAGCGGAGTGATTAGCTGGCACGAGGATGGAGCTGGGGTGGCGGTGGGTTGCTGGTTAGCTGTCGAAGCAAAGGAAGAGGCTGGGTTAGTGCTGTTTTAAATAAGGCGCTAAATAGGCAAAGGACCAATAGGAGCTAGGAGGGAATCAGCTGACTATCATCTGGTTGAGGTGGCTACTAGCTATTGGCTGCGGATCGGCGCTTGACGGTGTGTCCTGACAGAACTAATGCTATGCTTCATTTCATGTAATTCATAAGTTGCTTTTTAATTTGGGGCTTCAATATACCCTTAAGTTTACGCAAATCAGTTTTTTCGTCGTCATCAATTGTAAGTTTTCAAATGAATTCACTTTGAAGAATAGATTTTCATTGTTGTTAATAACAATAGTTTCATAAATAAGTTTTCTTATGAATTCACTTTAAACAATAAGTTGTTGTGGCTGTTTGTGACTTAAGGGAAATCGGAAATCGGTCCTGGCAACCCGCTAGTCAGGGCAAAGCATGCTCCATTTGGTTTCAAGCTAATACCCTGATGTCATCATAGCACAGATCTTGAAATAGTCTATAATGCTTATCCCATGCAGTGTTAAGGGGGCTCCGTCTAGTCTCAGCAGTGTGTGAGAGGAAGGACACACCCCAAACAGGTCATACAAATACACATCAAGTGTTACTAAAGTTAATTAAACGTTGTTTATTGCTCAAGCAGACTCTGACAGACTTCTAATGTATCCATTCATTATATTATATCAGTACAACATTGTGACTTTTACAGCTTTTATGCCTGCATAATGGCATATTAACAGCCTTTAATAGTCACTGTGTACTTCTTTAAGCCTGTTACACAGAGAGCACCTATTATGCTTGAAAAGACTGCTTCATCAGATCTTTTATGTCTGTTTAATGACAGTGCAATTATGAAAACAACCAGTATTGACTTGCTATGTAGCAGTGCCTGTTTATTTTTAAAGAAGGCTTTGACCTTTACATGTGTGCAGGCTACGTGCAGTGAGATTATTTTTCTGCTTGTTTCCTGAAATGGGCTTCTGTGTTTTGGTGGAAGACGTTGCTGCTGCTGCTGCTGTCTGTGACTGATGTTATGTAAGTGTGTTTGGTCTGACTGGTCTTTCCATTGCTGTAGGGGGAGTTTCTGCCCCCTGGTATTTGGAACAGCAAACGTCTGACTCCTATGACTACAAGACTGCGCTCTCTTTATTATATGTGTGTGTGTGTGTGTGTGTATGTGTGAGAGAGTCTGTGTGCATGTGTGTGGGGAGATGATCCAACTGCATAATAAGAGCAGTTACATCATCTAAGAAAAAGGCCTTTTATTCCCTTCGCTTACAGCCTTCCAGTCAAAACAAGGCGCTGTTGGACTACACTGCTGTGCCTCAGCGTTCATGCAAGGCTCTGTGTGTTCTTATCAAAAACGTAGTCAGAGTGTGTTTTCACTTTTAGGTCATTGTCACCTAAATGTTCGGCCACACTGTCATATCTTCTGGGAAGTGTTGTATTGTGTGAAACAGGAAGTACAAGGATCAGAGAACAGACAAAGGTCGTTGGCTGCTGGGTTAAGGAAACATGGGTTAAGTAGCGTCAAAGCTTCCTCTCACTGAAAAGCTCTTTAATCCTGATGAGGACAAACAACTCTCTGACATACACATACACTCACACACCCACACACACATACACACAAACACTGAGTTTGCCTATGAGAGAGCTGGGGGGTCACCCTGAAGGATAAATGCTGATAATGACAAAAACAGTCCTTCCTCCCTGAAACTTAGGAGAAACACAAACACAAGGCATATTTGTTGCACATGTAAATAAAGTCATTGCCAGCATAGAACATTAGCTGCAGCCACTGCATTTAGAAGCAGTAAAATGTTAGGAGAGTCACATGTTTTTCCAGTTTGAAACCTTGACATATATATGTTCACTTCCTCTCTTCTCTCATCACTATTCTATTTTACTGTCATTGAGTCTGACCCCAACGCTCAAAGTGGTTTTACCCAAAGTTCTCTGTCTCCTCCATCTCATCTTCACTCCTTTTGGCAGCTGTGTCAACAACCACAGGCCTCTAGCCTTAAACAAACTGTCCACACAGCCATTGTACACCATGCCACTCCCCTTGTGGAGCCGCAGGAAGGCTGCGCTGACATCTATATAAATGCTGGCAGCCAGTCCCAGAACAACATTGATTTTGTTCCAATCAATCTAGAGAGATTGCAACGCATGGTAAATGACAGCCTGTGCGCCATAGCATACATTTCAGCATTAATTGTTGCTGGGCAGACTTGGCTGGCCAAATGCAGGGTTGGTCCCCCTGATCGTTACGACAGTGGGAAACATCAGTGTGTTGTCAGGAGGGGTGCAGGAGGCCCAGCTGTCACCTGAACTTCAACACTCAGAGGACAAACTTGATCCTCGTCCAACAAAAATGGCCTTTGTAGTTTGTAAGTAACTCTACATGTGAAATCAACAGGATTAAATTCTGCTTGAATAAAAATGATAGTAACGAACAGCAAGGCAGATTCAGCTTTACTAATTTATTATTCAGTCAATATGAACAATTGGGTGGATCGCTTCTTATGAAATACAAATGTCCCACTAAGGATGAATAAAAAAAATGTTTCCTCTTTATTAAATGCACTATGATGAGTTTCCATGGTGATTTCAGTGACTCTTTTGGACAAAATCAGGAATGTTTTTTTTCCAGAATGAATGTGACATTTCCCATGATCATCATCACTTACTATCTTACAATTCTTGTTCTTGGCAGAGCATCCATTTGTCTTGAATATTTTGCAGCGTACAGAGGAAATGTATTGATTTGTAGCTAGAATTATTAACGTAAAGCAACAATGATAAACTTACCGTTACTTGGATAAATAGCAATGTGCTAAACAGGTTATTGTGGGTGAAGAGAGGCAAGTAGCATCATTATAAGACGACACCTTTGTCAAAATTGGTTTAAAAGCTCCTATCAGTGCCTTCAGAGTGTCTTGAACGCTGACTTACACAGTATTGACAAAAAAAGGCTAGCTAGCTAATTTTAGCACAACAATGAAGAATAATTGGTAAGGTACAACCACAAACAATATTTAAGCACCATGCATTACCTTGTAAGTCACTTAAAATGCCTTGAACTTTCTAAATAGAGTGTAAGGAAGAAACTTGTTATTTTTGAAAGAGTCATGTTAGCTATTTTCAGTGCTTGTACTTACTCAACCATATGTATCTGTGTATTTGGTTGATAGATAAAAAGATTGTTCCTTTAATATCAGTGATATATACCAAATAACGGGTTCTGATAAAATGTCAAACTCTTCCTTTAATCACAATGTTGCTCATTTTTCAGGAAACGACATTTCCTCTCCAGCCAATGAGCTTTTGATTGCTAACATAAATTGATATTGCAGGCTCTCGCTGCAGGAGCGTATGTATGGTCAAGGAACTGCTGTGGATGTTATTCTAGCTGTCAGGCTTTGTTTACCTTTCATCGCAACATTTTCCTGTCTCTCATTCCTCAGTTTTGTGTGTTTGCTCTTCACCCTGCCTGTTGTTTTGTGTCATAACAAACTGACTTATATTCCCTCATCTGACTGTTTTCTCATCGTCTCTTCTTATGGTTAACTTTGCTGTTTTTCTTTCCATTCTATCATTCTCTCTCTCTTTAGGTCTGCTTTTCAGCTCTGTCTTATGTGTCTTGGATACGCATGTCAAGAGAGGTGTTATTGACATGTCTATGCTTGTGCAGCACTGCCAATTTGTATCTTGCACAATTTTCACAGCACTAAATTTGATCTGTTTTCATCTTTTAGGACACAGGCTGTAAGGAGGTTGGGGGAAGTGGGATTCCTGTGCTGATAGCCAACCTGCTGCCCCCTCTCTCCAGAAAAATATTAATGTACCAGTAAGCAGGAACACAGCCAGCTCTTTCCTCCTCTCAGTGTCAGTCCATGTCTGATAGCTGGGAAAGACTTCTAGAGTTTTACGAGGTTTTGCTGCCGGACCTGCCGCGGGCTTGGCTCAAGGCCTTGACAGGGATCAGAGTGCCATAGCAGCACTCACACTGGTGCACACGCACACACATACACACAGATGGGTAAATGTGCCTCATAACAAATGTGTAGCATATGTATGTTTGCACTCAACCTCCTGGGATGACGCAGGGATTCTCTGTGGTTGAAGTGATCGTGTTGTCTGGTGGTACTGGACACTAGTGCAGCATTCACTCACTCTCCCTCTCACACATAAGCTGTTTAGACCGAGTACAGACAACCTGAACCTGGGGCCATGAAAGTAGGGATTAAAGCACACATGGGAAGCCGCACGGCCGCAAAGGTCACTGGGAGCAGATGTGACGTACTGTGGAGAATCCAGTACGTAATCACATGCGAGAGAGGAGATGGTCGAGGGTAATAAAGATACTGTTTCCTCTTCAGATTATTTCCTGAGCTCTGTGCTAAATTTGGACTTGATGACAAGCAAATATCACTCAGCCCAGATCAACTTGTAGCTCAGGGGCCACTTCCTATAGGCTCTGACCTTTTTTTGTCTTGCTCTTTCTTTTTCTCACTCAAAATCTTGAACCGACATCAAATGCAGATTTATGCTGACACAAACCTAAACAAAGCGACAGACAGGAAGTACAACGTTGTTAGTCACTGAACAAGTAGGGCTTATGAATGAGTAAAAATTAAGATATGGAAACAGATAA